GACGATAAAACATAAAGCTTCCAGTGCCGATCAGTTTCCGAGGAGAGCGGTATGTATTTAATCCATCATCGTGGAGGTGACTGAAAGCATATTTGGCTCATCCAACGACTCGTAGGGGTCCACTGATGCATAAAGTGAATATTTCTCTCCACATAGAACGGCCTGTTGAAACTTGTCAGCAACAAAGAAGTGAGGACTTTATTTATCCTGTGACGCCGCATAGAACCATAGACTACGTGCGTATTTCGTAACACATCTAGTCATCTACACGCATTGTCCTGAAAAAAATATTAATCAAACTCCATCATTGATAAAATTCGATTTTTTTGCTTAATTTCTCTATAAAATTTCACATTTGGCTTCTCTAGCGTCATGACTGTGATTTTCAAATGATGGTCGAAGATTTCCTTAAGAAGAAGCACGAACGGAAGTATCCGATTGCTTCACAAAAAAGTCAAGAGCTCGTGGAAAGCGCAAGCGATAAAAAGGACAGAAATAGAGTTTAGGTAGAAGAAAAAGTGGAGAAATCATAGTTGTCCAGTTGACCTGCAAAATAGAGATCATTACCTACATACGAACACCTATCAGGATCTTCAGTTAGCTGATGATGATCAACATTACATAGTCTCTCATTACATAGTTATAGTCATCTCAAAAATGTAGTGCATGTTGAATATTCAATTAATCGAACTAATCGTTCGATCTAAGTGCGATACGATGCTAGACTGGTAATTGCATGCTGCTGCTAGTCAGGTACACGGGTGTTTATGTGATGCCTGTCTTAACAGCTAGTACTTTAGACTAAGCTTTTTTCATTTTTATATGATTCGTCTTCACATCTACTGCTTGGATCTCAGCACTACTCATATTCGATTCGTTTCCTCGCATCCACCATCCACTAGAATCTTGCAACTTTTACGAGTGGCTACGGTTACTGGTTAAGGATTTTCATTTCATCTCGAATGTCGTATAATTCTGGCCGAGTCGGTTCTTCCTGGAATCCTGAGATGGCAGGACTGGAGCGCTCACCATTGAATTGCTGAGAGTGATTCTTTCCCGAACAAGTCCAGTGCCGATTTCCCGACGCCGGTGAGGAATCATATCAGCGCCGTGCTCGTGAGTGCTATTCGTCCTATTTAGCCTAAGCTAACAAAACTTTTATACGTTTATGCAATGTAAAAAGCAAAAGGGCGCGAGTAGGGCAGTGGAAGTGATCCCGTTCATTGCGCGGTCGACCTGTGTTGGGGCGTTAGTTCAATCATGGCCCAGGCCCTACAAGCTTCTTACCTACCGCAGTTCGGAGAATTGGTAGCACACTTGTCCAGGAAACGATCACTTTCTCCAAATTACATGGGCATGCTCCAACATGGCTATTTCAAGATTACAAAGAGAATTGGCTCGACCAGCGTTCAACAACATTCGTACCTTACTTGTCCCGCCCCAATGTTGGTAAGGCGTTCTAGAGGGCGACAGGGAATAATTTTGGCGAGAGAGTATTTGCCCAACGCCTCTTTTGACGCCTATGTTCATTTAGTTGTATAAATCTGATATTTTGGCTGTGGAATCTTGCATCGCTCAAAAGAAACTTTTATACTGAGTTGTGACGCCCTGGCCGCCTGGTGTTCCATTCTTCTTCTATATTGACTGAGTTGAAAGGCTTCTTTAAATCGGCTATGGTGAGACAGAGCTGTCTCTTGAAGTCTCGCGATACTTCAATGAGTCTTGTTATCGTGTGGATGTTGTCCATCGTACTGAATCCTTTTCGAACCCTGCTTGCCTACATGGCGGCCTTGGTCCAGTGTTCTGTTAATCCTGTTTAAAATTGAATGAGTGAAAAAATTGCAGACGACCGACAGACAGCAAGGGAATTAGGTGATAGTTGAAGATATGAATATGGGGTAGTGCGGCGATATGGCCTTCGACTGAATTGGAGCCTTGCACTCTGATAACTGACGTGTGAAGAGCAGAGGCAGTGTGTTGATGAGGACTGGCGGAAGGTTCTCCATGTGTTCAGATCTTATCCTGTGCCAACCTAGTGTTGCTCAGTTATTCACCAATGATTTAGTATATCGCTTTTTGAAACGGATAACCCGTGAAACGACATATCCAGCCACCTTTATTTCGTATGAGGAAAGGAGGTCTCAACTCTTGAAGTCAACCTGGTAGTAGCCACTAGTGATTATCTCCATCGCCTTTCTGGAACTATAACTGTTCACTTTGGGTATCGGAGTGAAATTAAATTGGTTTCGTAATTAGCGAAGCTTCGATTGGCAATTCGAATGTTCTTCCCAGTTGCTGCGAATTCGACCATAAATGCTGCGCTTCACTCGTAAAGACCTTCTTGTACGATCTGTAGGTATTGCTCTGCAAGTTTATGCGTCAGTTGGCGGTTTCCTGGAGATTTTTGGACTTCATGTTGGCATATTGACTGGAGTGTGGAAACGTCTTCTCGTGACTTCAGCCCTCTCATCTTTCATAGTGTTAACACCAAATTACTGGGTAAACACGTCATATTCCTCATTAGTGTCTTCGATTATGGCATCTTCTCAAAAGGAAACTAATGGTTCGAAAAATTCATAATTTATGGCGGTTTTGGAATTTTGTTTTCTGAACCTAGCGACTGCCTGTTCTTTTTGTGAAAAATGGAATCTTGCGCGAGTGAGGTGGTGGTCTGATTACATGTAATTTTGGAATCATCTGTATCACCTGTAGTCCCGTTGATCGTTGAGTGACTCGAGTGGGCGCCAGTAAATCTTCCATTTCTCTTTGTCGTGTGCAAGAGTAGCCCAGTGGGTTCTGCTCGCTCTAGGGACTCGTCGAGCATCATATCTTTTTTCAACGCTCTTTGTGTGGAACTCTGACCATCGGGTCGATGGTCTTCTTGCAGTACGTTTGACATCCCGAGGAATCCAGTCACTAACGGCTGTTGTCCATCGGTTGTCATTCATGCGCATTACGTGTCCGGCCTACCTTACCTTCGAATGTTTAGCGTACAGACCGGCATCCTTGATTTCCGATCGTTGACGCAGGTCAGAGCTGCGGATCCCTTTCCTTAGGTACTTGACATGGGATACTCCTAGCATCGTCCTTTCGACCGCGCGTTCAATAACGCTGAGCGACCTTTCATCCTGCTTACGCAGCTACCAGGATTCTGACACATACGTTAAGGCAGGAAGTGCTGTTGAGTCGAGAAGGTAAGCCAGGTGTTCTTTGTTCTCTTCACTACATCTTCGATGCCTTTGATAGCTGCTCGTTTTCTACTGCTCAACTCTAGAGCTGAGTCGTTCATCACGTTGATTTCCCGACCTAGATAGACGTAACTGGAGCATTTGGAGATATTCGTTCCGTTGAGCGTGAACGGGGCATACGAAACCAATCCGTTCCTCATGAACATCGCTTTCGTGCGATTTCGTCGAAGGTTAATGTTCCAATTAAAGGCTTTATCAAAGTATCCATCCACCTTTGTTTCAAACGAGAGAAGGAGGACGTGGCTACTGGAGAGACAAGAGTAGTGGTCATGAATACTTTTCTCTATTCGCTTTCTGGAAGCTGTGAATGTTCTGTCTCAGCGTCGACGTACAACTATTTTGGTTTTACAAATGGCGATGCAACGGTTGGCCTTGCGAATGCTTTTCTAAGCCTCTGCAGCTTCAACCATTGTTATGCAAGCTCGGGTCTTAGCTGGCGGTTTTCTGTAGCTCACGCGATTCCATACTGACGTATCCGTTCAAGTGCTTCTGGCGACAGTCGTCTCTTGGTGACTTTCGCACTTTCAGCCTTCATAGCGCTAATGTGAAGATGCTGAGTGACCCGATCGTATCCCTCATCGATGTTATCAATAACGGCATCCTCCCAACAGCCGACTAAAAGTGAAGAAATCCGGGTTGATGGTTGTTTCAGAAATTTGTTTTTTTTGGATTTGGCGGCTTTTTCAACTTTCCGAAGACTAACGCGTTCACCCCACACCATGCGTGTCCTTGGTGCCAACATAGGACTCGAACCTGCGTCGCCGCTGCTTTCCGGTTTCCAACTTTCTGCTTGAAATGATATCTTGCACGAAGGTGGCGATGATCTGATCCTGTGTAGAATCTTAAGGCAACAGCGGCACCAGTTAGGTAAAACCTTCCATTTACTATTATGTGGTCACCAAGAGACGACTATCGCCGGCAGTACTCTAACCCAGAGCCTTGGAAGATCGAAATGGCAAGCAATCTACTTAGTCAAATATTTTCGCAAACATAGAAGATAAAACTTGTCACACAAGTTTTCATTCGCGCGGTAAGCATCTGTTCCTAATCAACCATCTTTCTCTTCGCTGTAAGTGCTTCAGACACTGTTAGAAACCGACCACACAGTCTTACATGGGTGAGAAAGGTAGCTGGTTCAGGTCAAAAAACCAACCTCAGCGATGGGGCCAGATGATGCGTGATCGTAAGGCGCTCCTCGATGAAATCCAATTTTAGATTTTTCGAATTTATCCAGTAGAGGTTTTCAGAGTTTTACTCTGCGACGTTTCGGCTCCCTGTGCGAAGATGACGACTTTTGCTTTAAAAACTTCTCCGCCATGTTTCTGTGTCGCATGCGTGCCCAGAGGAGTTTTTTTTATAAGACTTTCGAATTTTTAGACTTGGTGCTCTTTTATACGGACCTGGAGCGGTGGATAAGATTCATCTATGTATTCATTTCCACACGCTTTAGAAGACACCGGGTACGTTGTATTCGAAGTGATGCAATCGCTATCTCTACTTTTCAGGGCAAGTTGTGCAGTTGTGCGTTTCACGTACACAGTTCTGCAAACGGTTGCCCACTAGCCGACGACCTGAAGTTTTCGGTAATATTTCACTCGCTGCCACATATTTCTCAAACCCTGACATTTCCAAGCAGCGTTTTACAGATGTATTTATTTCGTTGGGGATAAAAGTTAAAATAAAGAAGAGCTTATTTGCACTAGACTTATTATTTTGGGACGTGGTTTTTCCTGTACACCTATACTGAGAAGCCAAAGTTTCGTAGCCACTGGAAATGGCCATTGATCGCTCCAAATTCAGGATTTCCCCTTTCGCTCTCTTCGTGGGCATACAGTAGTGGTTACTGGAAGTATGTTTCTCTCAGAAAACTTTCTTTTGTGAGAAGTGAGAGGATGGGGAAGACACGAGCACCTCTTTGTTGCTTGACTTTCGATACCGTTTGCTTTTTGCTTTTTCGGCTTCTCCCAGGCTGGAATTTATAGACTCTAACCGTTCGTTCAACAGGACATAGACTTGTTTACGTCCTCCTGTGTTCAGTACATGACGAAAGAATCGTCGATAACCTGTAGTAGAATTGTGGTTAGAGACCGAGTAGGAGTCTTAAACTTCGGACATGAACGTAATGGTAGGGCTTGGTGGAAGTCGCTGTCCCATAGCGAATCATCTTCTTTGCACGGAATACGTTTTAGTCCTTCTAAAGGTTGGGTAGTTTAGGTACTCCTTAAAGAGAGGCATTTTATTGCTCTTTCGTATACCACCAGTTCGAGGATTGCTTGCTTTGTAGGGCCATTCGACACGTTTGTACAAAGCATGGCAACGTCTAGTATTCGCCACGCAAAAACAATTTTTTGTATCACTATCACTATATACCACTATATATATATATATATATATATATGCATTCTGGTAAATCAAATGGAGCCACGTGCATGTGGTGCCTGCGTGTGCAGGTTCCGTTTTGGTTCGACCCTTCGCCGCTGGCTGGCAGAGCGTTCCATCTCTTCTTGTTCGGCGAATTGGAGATCACAGTTGCCTTAGTTGTTCGAAACACTGAATTGATACATTTCTATGCCACTGCAAGTGCGCAAAAAAGCCAATCAGTTATATGTATAGTGTTCCACGTTCGCCAACGTCGTCTGTTGTACCACGAAAGTAGCTTCTGCCGAAAGTTTTTCTCGATCGCCGTATACAGGTTTCGTAGTGTACTTGCACTCTGTTATCCCAGATTGTGGAATCGCTCCCCCAAACTCTGCTTCGATGGCACTTCTCTAGCAATTTATGGTCTCGTGAGCAAAACCTATGCTTGGTAGAAATTTTCCACCCATTTATGTGCACCTCTAGTTCTAGCAGTTTCATTGGCGATAGTTTGTATTATTGTGCTTTATATGAACGGTGTAAAAATTTCGAAATACAGTGATCATTTTGAACCAATGATGTTTCCGACAGAGAGCACTTTCACAAAGTTGGACGCAACATTGCTTAAGTTTTCCCTATTGCCACCACCAGCGGATAATGTACTACAAATAACGCTGCTTTATTTTCAAGGTTGAGTGAGCACTTTCCCAAAGAGGCTACCGCACTGATTCCACATTGTTCCAGTTAGAGAGCCAACATCTTCAATGTCTCGTTGTACACACTACCGTCTCCTCTGCTGTTTGGTGGAGACGATAACCTGCTCCATTCGACAGTTTGCTCCGAACGAGACAGCGTCTCTTCAAGCCGGCCACGGCCTCTGCCCACCTATTCTAGCCAATCACAGCGCACGAGCTTGAACTTCCGGGCAGTTATGTCTGTATGTCTACGTAGTTTCTCCATGTAAGAGATCTATCTGTTTTCCTTCTTCTTCTCCTCTTCTATTTCGTTCTAAATCTCTTTATATCCTATCTGTATATTGATGTCCTTCTCAAACCGAGTTGATTCTTTTTTCAATACCTTTTATACCGTACACTCTCATGTTTTCCTTTTATTTAGCACTGGTTTTAGAAACGTATTCTCGCTGTCTCAGTGTTGGTGAAGACACGAATTTGTCTTCTTGTAGAGTGCAGTGCTGCGTGCTCTATAAACATGGATTATGTTACGGACCCAAATAGTTCCACTGCGTTAAATTCTTCATGGAATCCAACTTCCCAGCAGCTTCCTGCCAATTATTGCAGTTAGGTTTTTTGTGTTTACAACGTTTCTTTCTCATAGTCTTTTTTCTAATTTAGTTGAATGCTTAAGGCCAAGGTCTAGCGGATAGTTTCAGGAATCTAAAACTAGTCGGAGTCCAAGTAATTCCAGAAACGAAATCCTCGAACAATTTCCATTATATATTTGGGGTTCGTTAAATGTTTCTCATTAACAACCTTCGTGGTTTAGTGTTTTTTCTTGATGTTAATCCTATCTACGGTGTGTTTGTTCAATCCCTGTGATGACACATCTGAAGGAAATTGCAGTCAAGGAATTTCTGAAGCTCATTCTTCGTCATTCCTATTTCGAATGAATCGCCTTGGTGTTGACTTGAAACATTTAGGAGACCATGGAGAAGTTATATTGCAAAATCGGAACCGTGGTCCCCATCACATTCAACATTGTCGGCGAACGCGATCCTCGTTCACGTATACGTGTTCGTGCCGTTTATACGGACCATGCAATCTTCGACACACCCGTAGTGCCTTGTCCGAATCACCTGGCGAAAGACGGTTAGTGCCGTGTGACTTTTCATATGAAATAAATCCATCTATTTTTCAGCTAGTAATGCGAGAAACCATTTTGTACGCTGTCAGCATGCGGGGACTGAATATCTCGATGAAAACGGGAATTACTCTTTGCGTATTCCTTTGTGTGAGCAGGCTGGTTTCATGTTCACATGCTTCAGCTCATGTGCTGGTGGCATCAACCGTCGTTCGGTTGCACTCACTTTCCAACTTGAGTTAGGGTAGGTCTTTGATCGTTTTTCTCCCACCTCGTTCAAAAGCGTGCGACACAGAATATCCGCGAGATTTTCCGGTTGATATTTGAGGCATTAGTCGAATGAGATGTTATAGTTATTCGTTTCATGAAGAAGTTTGTGTACATGTTTAATGTGTGCGAAAGTTTTTGGTAGACTTCGATTTAGCTTGTGCTCCACTTTTTACCGCTATATTTGACTTCCCGATTATAGATTACCCTGTGTCTTAATGTGTTATTTTGGAGGAGTAGTTGGCTAAATATTTCTCTGTCGTGTTTGAAGGAACGACCCAATGTGATAAACCGTAAATTCTTCCAGAGGCGGAAGATCATCGGGGATGCACTGTCTTCCGTTGAAAGTTTGTGCCAAGCCTTACCGCGATGCGTATCTGGATGATAAAAAGATGCTTGAAACAGCATTTATGAGTGAGTATGTTTTGTTCTATTATTTAAAAAAGTAAAGTTCGTCCAGAATTTGCTATTGTACTGTAAATAATACTACACCGTAATCTCTCATCAGGTATGAAGTTTCTGTTCCACCTTCCAAGTGGAGGAATTGGAAGCTATCGAAACACTGCGAACTACTTTAACTTCTGTTTTCGTTTAGCCTACTCATGTATAAATGTTGTACAAATTTACTGAATATCCTACACGAGGTTGGTTATAAATCTGTATTATGGGAAGTGTTTGGGCGCTACCACCCTCTTCACAGCCACGGTGTTTCCACGTCCCCACCACAGCTAGATATATGTCATTATAAGTCCAGGTGTATATGAATCACTTTTTCTCCGAAGAAATTCAGAAAGGAATCAACACGAGTTAGCCGGATGTTCACAGCAATCATTTCTTTTCATGCTCATACGCTTTTTCGTAGCGGTGTTCCAATGCTTCCTTTACCTTGGAAAGTGTCTAGGATGCCACTATTGTTGTTCGAAGCAAGCGCGGGATAGAGTTCTTGACGCGGCGAGTTCTCAATCGTTCGTTCAATTTCGGACGACGATCCAGGATATCCTTTTTTTTTCTTGTTCATCAAATGGTAAACGATTTTTAAATTGAGATTGTTCGGTCGATTTACGATTCCTTAATTAGTTTTTGGAGTGGCAGCTTTGTTAATGATTTCCATACAGATAGTTGTCAATTGCTGTTGCGCCCACTCGACTTTCTCTGTTATGAAAACTCGTATTTCCATTACGAGAGACTTCGAATCAAGTGAGCGCATGAAATGCCTTTACTGGCTTACACCTTGTTGACATTTCGAGTTGTTAGCATTACTTTATGTCCAAGTTTGAACTCAGAAACTATGACGATGTCATTTGTAGCTACGATGTTTACATGGTGTGACAGCATCACTTAAACCGTTCTGGAATCATACTAAACTAGGTTTGCTTTTGGAAAAGCCATTATGTGGGTAAATATTGGACAAGATATGAACTTTAGGAGGTGTGCACTAATACTGCGTGCATAAAGTATTCAATTGCTTAACTACCTTGTTGTTACTTATTAAATACTACGTCTATATCACTACGCTGTGATCAGCACGTTTTTCAGAAAAAACACCCAAACGCAAGAAGCAGCACAGTAGTAGCAAACCATCACCTAACTCAGAGTGTAATGATAACACCTCCGGAGCTTTGGAAATACGCGTAAAGGTGCTTTCTCTTGTACAGAAAGAGCGAATTAGCGTTATTCGAGTGTACTTTTTCATATGGCTGCTTTTGACAGATCTCTGTGAACACATGGAATTTCTTTCAGCTCAACGATCCAACGAAAATCAATAAGTGTCTATGGTATCTGAGGCACGAAGAGAAATTCGACAGTTTGATTTCTATGGCGATGGACAACATTTCATCTCGCGATTTTTGCTCATTGACTCCAGGCATCGGGATCAAAGCGTGGGTAATTTTACAATAACAATTGTAACTTATAACTTTTCAAGTGAACATTTTCTAGGTCGAGCAGTTTTCTGGTCATTTTCCGTCTTTTAATGTTTAGGTGGTTGAGTAGACCTAGCATTGGACTTGCATCGCATGCTGACAGATTCGAGCGGAACTCCATCACCACCCTAGGCGACCTCGCTAAAATTTATCGCAATGACGTAAGTGAATAAAAATTTTAACTTCTCTTCATCGTGTTCTAATGATAACCACTTGCTTATTAAATTGAGTACACTATCTTCCGCTTTCACTACAGATTTCGCTCTTATATAATTCCCTCAATGCTAAATCTTCATGTATTTTGGAAACGTATTAGTATTTTACAAGATGTGAATAATTAGTGCGATCTAGGTGCTTTTGAAGTCTCCAATTTCATGTCGACGGACTTAAAGTAGAAATGTTTGTTTAGTTGTCGGAAATGAGTTTTTTTTNTTTTTTTTCATATGGAATGTTTTTAGACATTTGCTCGCTTTGGTTTCACGCCCAATGAATGTGCCGTTTTGAACAAAGCCTTCCAGGAATGGCATCATGAATACAGGTTAGAGCTGTGGGCTACTTTTCCTTTCTCTAAAGATGTTGAAGTTCATGCGATATTGGCGCGAATTGCTAGGATGTATCCGACAGTGCATTATTTCAATCGTACAAGATTTTTAGCTCCACGACCACTAATAGCAATCGTAAGAGGACAGGACTAAACGACTGGTGAGCGTCGTATTCATTCTCGGCTTTTATTGGCCGTTTTTTTTTCGCTCGTTCTGTATTGTATTATGAGTAATTCACTTTGAAAAATAGAAAAGACGTCACTCGAAATGGTTTACGTCTAGATTTAGCAGCGTGTCTGCACGTTGCTATCAATGTTACCATACCCTTAAGCGTCCAAATTAGGGGTTTAATGGATCTCTTCACATCGTTATGCCAACAATTGTACCTTGTTCCTCACTCTCAGTGCACTCCTTATTATTTCTTTCACTCTTATTTCGTTTGTGTTTTCTCCTAGATTTATTTTATTTTTTAGATTTATAAGTTCATATTTTTAATATTGTTGTACATGTGAATTTTACAGCTCTGGTATGAAAATCATCTGTACTATCATATGATCTGTGTTCTACATGAGCCATTAATTCTTTGAATGTCTGCTAGTGTTGTGTCATCTAAAATAAAGGTGGGTGTTACTCCTAACAGCGACTTTCTGTCAGCATCGGCATTGTTCAGCAAGTTAGCATTTTCTTCTTGGGCTAAATTGAGGTCATTGCGCCAAGTTGGACAAAGTCCCTGTCCTGTACACTTTCGCTCAATAAAACAGCTGAATAATTGGTACACACATCTTCCACACTGGTAGGTATTTACTCTGTTAAGTTGCGAGGAAGACTTACAAAAAAGGCCACCGAATTGAGTAAAAAAGAAATGCGAATGATTACCTGTATCACCTGTAGTCCTCGTCGAGTGACTCGAGCGGACGCCACTAAATCTTCCATTCGTCTCTATCGTGTGAAAGAGTAACCCAGTGGCTTCTGCTCCCTCATGGACTCGCCGAGCATCATATCTTTCTTCCAGGTTTTTCGTGAAGAACTCTAGCCATCGAGTCGGTGGTCTTTCTGCTGTGCGTTTAACACTCTGAGGAACCCACTCACTAATGGCTCTTGTCTTTCGGTTGTCATTCATACGCATTTCATGTCCAGCCCACCTTATCTCCGACTGTTTACCGTATAGACCGGCATCTTTGCTTTTTGATCGCTGACTGAGGTCGGAGCTTCGGATCCCTTCTCTTGCTTGTGTGAAACGGTATGTTCCTAGCACCGTCCCTTCGACAGCGCGTTCAATAACGCTGAATGATCCTTCAACCTGATTACGCAGCAACCAGGTTCCTGACGCATACGTTAGGGCAGGAAGTATCGCTGAGTCGAAAAGGTGAGCACGGAGTCGGGTGTTCTTTGTTCTCTTCACTACATCCTCGATGCTCTCGAAAGCAACCCAAGCCGCTCGTTTCCTTCTGCTCAACTCTGGAGCTGTGTCGTCCAACATTTTGATTTTCCGACCTAGATAGATATAACTGAAACATTAGGAGATATTTGTCCCTTGAGCGGAAATGGGGCGCACGAAACCAATCCGTTCTGCATGAACGTCGTTTTTGTGAGATCTAGTCGAAGACGAATCTTTCCACAAGTTTTAACAAAGTCGGGAAGCACTTGTTCGGCTTGGCTAATGTTTAGTGTTATAAGGACGATGTCACCACGAAGGCAAAGATGATGTAACGGCCGACCATCGATTTTCACTCCCATATTATCCCTTTCCAATGTTCGCATGACGTTCTGGAGGATGGCGGTAAATAATTTTGGAGAGATGGTATCGCCCTGCCTAACTCCTCTTTTGACGTAAACATTAATATCGTTGTAGAATGGTTGGTGGCGAAACATTTGTACAGCTCACGAAGAATCTTTATGTACTGAGCAGGGAGTCCTTGACTATCAAGGGCTTCCAGGACTTCTTCTATCTCAACTGAATCATAAGCCATCTGTAAATCGATGAAAATGAGACAGAGCGGTGTTTCGTACTTTCCCGATACTTCGATGAGCCATGTTATCGTGTGGATGTGGTCCATCGTACTAAATCCTCTTCGAAACCCTGCTTGCTCACATGGCTGTCGTTCGTCCAATGTTTTGTCAATCCTGTTTAGGATGACTCGAGCGAAAAGTTTGCAGACGATAGACGGCAAGCAGATTGGGCGATAGTTGCCGATATCGTGTGCGACATCCTTCTTGAGCAATAACATGGGCTTGCTGGTCTTCTACTGAGTAGGGACCTTGCATTCAGACAGGTAACGTGTGAAAAGCCAAGCTAGTGTGTTTACGAGGATTGGAAGAAGATCCTTCAGGAGTTCTGATCTCATCCTCTCCGGACCTGGTGCTGTTTTTCACCGTCGAAATTGCATGTCGGATTTCGGAAGGGAGAACTGGTGGTGCAACATATCCATCCTCCTTTATTTCGTATGACGGAAGGCGGACGTGGCTATCGAAGAAATCTGAGTAGTGTTCGTGAATAATATTCTCTTTTGCCTTTCTGGACGCTGTAACTGTTCCGTCTAGGCGTCGGAGTGCAATCGTCTTGGTCTTATAATTGGCGACGCTTCGGTGGGCTTTGCGAGTGCTTTTCCCAGCCTCTACAGCTTCGACCATTACTTCTGCTCTTCTCTCTTTAAGATCTTCTTATGTCCCTCCATTGTTTTGCGAGTTCGGACGTTAGTTCACGGTTGCCTGCAGCTCTTGCGATTCCGCGCTGGCGTACCAGTTCTAGTGTTCCTGGAGACAGAGGGAAGGGATTTAACGGCTCCTTTCTGCGAGAAATGGAATCTTGCACGAAGGAGGCGGTGGTCTGATCATGTGTAGATTTTTTAGATGACAGCGACATCGGCTAGGCGAAACCTTCGGCTCACTGTGATGCGGTCTATTTCATTATGGTACTTTCCATTGGGAGACCCCTACATCCAGCGCTGAGGCTGGGATTTTTGGAATTGCGAGTTACCGTGGATGGTCTTGGTCGTCATGATAAGCTCAGACTACCGTTCACCATGTTCGTTCCATTCTAATCCGTGAGTCCCAATGTGACATTCTTCAGGTGTTCGCCTTGGTCTAATCTTGGCGTTCAAATCTTCATTGATGACTTTGAAGAATGCATGATCTTCTCTGTAGAACTTCTCCGAATCCATATTGAACGTTTCGACTTCTTCTTCGTCATAGTTTGGTGTCGGCGCGTAAACGACGAGTATTGTCAAAGCTGGCATTGTTCAACATCTTTTTAGTCGTAAGCGTCCGATTCGGATTGTAAGTTGTTCGAATGAATCGATGTTCATGGTCATACTGGTGTCGACGAGAACGCCGACGCCACCGACTCGTCTACTGTCGCATGTTCCGAGGAACAGTTCTTCTCCGGTGTCAGGCGGCGTTGAATGAGTGGCGTCGATTCGTCTCGTCTAGGCCGATGACCTCGTACTTTATCTTTCTCGCTTGCATGATCAAGTCTTCCATCGAGCACTCGGATGCAAGTGTACTTGCATTGTAAGGCACAGATCATCGCCTTACTTCTTCGCGATCCAGGCAGCTTCCATTGGCCCTGAGGTTTTAGCAGCCTTTCCGTACTCGCCCTACCCAAAGCTGCGAAATTGGAAGCTCTTTCGGGGTCAGGGTAATGAGGCCCATTTTTTTTCTTATTGTGTTTAGCATTTTTGTTACCCACGTATAGCTTGCTGGGCTCTGAACGTGGGGCTAGGTATGCTCACGGGTAGCTTGCTAGGCTCTCCCAGAGTGGACATGGAGCTTATTTGTTGGAGGCGACTCCTAACCGCTTCCCATTTATCTCCCTGTAACTTGATTGCAGGGTTTTTTCAGAATTGAAGCGTAGAATAGAATCCGCGTGAACTTGAACTCACCCACACACGTGTGCATGAATGCGCCTCGCAAATACAGGAAGTATGTGCCAAATCGGCACAGCTGAAACAGAGAGTCCTTCTCCTGGATCCAGCTGCGTCTCAGGGAAACGTACGTTCGCTTTTGCTCTGCGATTAGCGCCCTATCGGCCACCTGGGGATGCGTCACGTAGTCTCGCGCCTAACCTTCTCGAGAAAAACGATGCTTAATGAAGTCGAATGCAGGCTGCATCCCTCAGGGATTTTATAATAACTTCAGTGGTTCTGAGATATTTGGAAAACTCCGAACCTCAGGTGTCTGCGGTGTGGAACGAACGCGCTACTGTCCTTTCCGGGGAGTAAGGCATTCAGCACCACGCCATGCGGGTCCTTAAAAAAAGTAAAAAGAATGGACAGTAAATAAAAAGGTTAAGATTGTGAATATAACTGTAGCCTCAGCTAACTGGGTTTAACGCTGATTTGGGCTCCGCAGATCAATCCTGCTAACGGGTGGTTGTTGATGGCAAAAGATCAATAGAACTAGCTGATTGACAGGCGAAACGAAAGACCCACATGGTGTGGTGGTGAACGCGTTGCTCCCCGGAAAGGGCAATAACGCGTTCGTTCCCACCGCAGACACCTGCGGTCCAGAATTTCGCAAATATCTCAGCAACGTTGTGGTTGTATTTCGCTTAGTACCCTGCCGCGAAATTATAGTAGGCAGAAAATAAAAAGGTATGACAATGGAAAATAATTGTTGGACGAAACTGCGAACCGTTCCCCTTTACATCTTGAGTGTAAGATTGCTGCCGAATCAGATAGAAAATCTGCGTGACGTGAAGGTAAGTACGCCCACGCACATGTGTAAATGTGATTTCCCGTTTACGCCCGAACTCGCAACTAACGTCCGAACTCGCAAAACAATGTAGGGACATAAGAAGATCTTAAAGAGAGAAGAGCAGAAGTAATGGTCGAAGCTGTAGAGGCTGGGAAAAGCACTCGCAAAGCCCACCGAAGCGTCGCCAATTATAAGACCAAGACGATTGCACTCCGACGCCTAGACGGAACAGTTACAGCGTCCAGAAAGGCAAAAGAGAATATTATTCACGAACACTACTCAGATTTCTTCGATAGCCACGTCCGCCTTCCG